AAGTTTCGCATATCTTAAAACCATACCGTGTTATGAAATGTCACGGAAATATCTGTAACAGAGAAAATACCCTAACAAACTGTTTTGTTTAAATACGATACATAATTTAAATACTTTAAATGAGTTAGAGAATGCAATAATTATGAAGTAATAGCTCTGTTATCTTCAAGTTCTAGCAAACCTCAGTGCGAGCTCTTCAGTGGAAATCAGCTCCCCGCCTGTTCATTTTGTCGATTTTGTAGTAAAACATTTAGATTTAGAATTTTTCTAGAACCTCAACTAGACTGATTTTGATAAACTAAAAAAAAGTTTTAAAAACTAATGATAATAGTGATAATAACAACAACAATAATAATAATAATAATAATAATAATAATAATAATAATAATAATAATAATAATAATAATAATAATAATAATAATAATAATAATAATAATAAAAATAAAAGTAATAAAAATAATAATATACAACGTTTGTATAGCGCAAATGCCCCCTCAACAGCAAGCTATATACTAGATCTTATTACTCCAGAAGACCTGAGAGCATTCTGAAACAACCTCAACTTTCTGGGAAGCATACTATGTAAATGTTTATGTATATCAGCCATGTCCCAGCTGTAGATGCGCCGTCGTTGGCACAGTAAGCATCATGTTGGACTCCACTATGTACGACTGTGGTTCTGATCCCCATCAGAATAGTCTCACGTCTAGGTTGTTTTGGGATGCTTTGGGTCGTTTTCAAAGCAGCCACCCATATGGCTCCATTCTATTGGAAACGTATGTTGAGATCAGATATCTCTCCTCTTAAATAACATTACCGTATGGAAAGAGGCGTTAAACCCATACGATATCATGTCACAATTCAGAGAAAAGAAAAAGGCCCAAGAGAGCCCTTTGTTTTCATCAAAAGTAAAATAAGGCGTAATATCAAATTTCAAACACAGATGGAAAGGATAAACAAAAGATTACCAAAGCTTCGCATAATTCTGTTCATAACTATGTATATTATGTTGAAAAAAAAATCACCGCAATTCATTTGGTTATGTGTTAATTTACGATTTCCCTATGTATTGTTCTGTAACTAATTTTAATTAATTAATTAATTTATTTATTTATTTATTTATTTATTTATTTATTTATTTATTTATTTATTTATTTATTTATTTATTTATTTATTTATTTATTTATTTAATTAATTTATTTATGTATTTATGTATTTATTTATTTATTTATTTAAAGATCTTTCAGGTTAGTAAAGAGTAGGTTGATGTGTCGTTTCATTATTCTTTTCTCTGTATTCATTTATCATTTGCAATTCTCAGTTCATTTATTAAAAAATCTCGCAAGTGGATTATTTATTACATTGCTAATAATATATTCGAAACTTTGTCGTTATATTTTCAACTGAGATAGCAGATTCCGACAGGAACACACACACACACACACACACACACACACACACACACACACACACACACACACACACACCTGTACATACGCACGCACACACACACACACACACACACACACACACACACACACACATACACACACACAAATACACACACAATTGTATATCTTTGTATAACCACAAAATAGTGTATCGTTCCGCTTTATTGATGTACCTATTCTTATTAATTTAAAATCTATTTTTTACTTCTTTTGTCTTATATTGAAAATCTATTTTTTACTTCTTTTGTCTTGTCTCTGTTTGGCGTTTCATATCGTTGTCGCCTGCTCACTCTTAAAAGAAAGAAGAAAAAAAGATAAATAACCTTCAGAGGAATAATAAAGGGCCTGTGTATCAATTGAAAAGTAGACTCATATTGCGTTCAAAGTGATTATTTAATAACAGATACGGACTTCTCTGCGAAGCTAGAGTCAGAGGAGCGATGATAGATCAAGCTATTTATCCTCTTGGGGAGATAAAGAGAGATAATAATGGACTTACTGAGAGCGTTAACGGGCATATCAAAACCGCCGTTTTCTTAAACCACGTCTTACCATTTTACGATAAGATGCATTGAAGGGCGTGTGATTGTGTCTTTTGCTTTCCGAAAAAGTAAATAGATGAATATGTTGTGCGGACCACAGCTTTCAGATCTTTATGAAGTGGACCACAAACGATCTTGTGTATTTGTGGCAGAGCTAGGTGACGCCTATTTTCTACAAATCTCTAACCATATGCTGCCATTGCTATTCTCCACAGCATGTTTAAGAAAATATTAGAACAAAAATCTGCTGGAGAAAAGAACAAAAGAAACGATTATAAACAAAGAAGAGGTGACAATTTCTTGGCGTAGAGAAGAAAGGACATTCATCAAAGAGATCATGTTGGAGTAGATTGTGTGAGGACTGTAACCACCTAAGAGCACTCGTGTCGATTATGCCATAGAAAAGGAATCAATAATGTGTTAATCACAATACTTTATACTGATTTACATATCTCTTACGATCAACGTTATAATATTTCTGCTGAATTTTTTTCAACGGAAGGGGGGGGGGGGGGGGTGATCGTTTGTGAAGAAGAAGTTATAATGTAAAAGTAAATAATTCTATTTTTAGAAAAGGGACCAAAGGGTATTTCAATGAGCAGAAGCTGGCAGTTGTCAGAAAGAACAATGAACGAATGAAGGAAGGAAGGAAGGACGTGTGTAAGAAATGTGATACGACGATCCAAGAGCTGATACGACTTTGCAAACCCTACTAAAATCGATCATGTGGCATGCAGGTGTTTCAAAGAAATTGTTCAGCCACCTTTTAGCAGTTTTTCAATCGCAATTATCATTATCTGATTTTAAAAAATGAACCACATGTGTTTTATACCTTCTCCTTTGTGGTACAAAAATGTTCTTAAAAAAAGAAGATTCGATAATTATAACAATGCCTTGAAAGTGTGGTGTTTCTCAGATAGGTACGACATGGTTTTTAGCTTCACTCGTCATGGTCTTAAGAAAGCAGATGTAAACGTAATCAAATTTCTAGGTGAGTGTAAAACTAAGTGTTTTTTTTTTACATAACATTTTGCAATTGTCATTAGATTTCAGATAAATATACCAATTTGATACTAAACCCCTCCCCCCCCCCCCAATTAGAAGCAAATAGTTAGCAAAAGTCGGCTTTTAGAATATTAGAAGGTGTGTAAACCAGATCAAATTCTCCTGCATGTCTTGCTGTGTTTTGAAAACCGTCTGCAGATGTTGAAACATCATTTCCTCATGGAAGTTTGTTACTCTTAAAATTACGGAATAAACTGTTGGTCATTCCACCACCGAAAGATCTTTCATGGAACACTGGATTCAGGGCAAACATGATTTTAAAAAAACCCAGCTGAAAAATAGTAATATTTGAAATGGTCCCTTAAACTCTAACTGTTCAACGAACTTTAGCATCTTGATTAAAAAGGCAAAAAACTGCACTATAGCGTCTATTGCGTAGTTGTGTATCCTTTACAGAAACTATAAAATGTGGAAGGATTTACTGCACACAACTCAATAAAACAGTACAAGTGGGAACAGTAACTGGAGCGAATACGAAACAAAATAATGGGGCTGAGAGTAGGGCAGGCACAGATGTCACTACAGGAGTTAATATATGTGGTCTGATTGTGATCTATGTCCTGGTTGTTGTATACCCGAGAAGCTTGCATCATGTCTTACATCGATCTTGCTTTTGCAACGATGACGACAGCCTTCTTTGTTTGACATTTTCTGTGTTTGAATGTGTTTGTTCTTTTGTTTATGTATATGTTCGTTCGTTTTGCTTTGTGTATTATTCAGCTATCCCCCCCCCACCCCTTCGCTCCTGGTGCCCTTCTATCTTTCTGTCTCTACCTAACTGCTTCTGTTTGTCTGTCTGTCTGTTTGTCTTCGTGTCTTTTTCCCTAGCCCTATTTCTCACCCTGTCACACCCTCCTCTCTTCCACCTTCTCTCTCACTCTGCATCCGCCGCTCTCTCTCTCTCTCTCTCTCTCTCTCTCTCTCTCTCTCTCTCTTTCTCTCTCTCTCTCTCCCTCTCCCTCTCTCTCTATTTTCCCAGTGCTCGCGAATTTTCTTTTCTTTAACAAAATGTCTAACACAAGACCATGTACTAGTCCTTTCCTTGATTTCCCCCAAAATGTTAACAACCACTCTAAGTATGTCTTCAAAATACAAAGAAATAACCATTGTATATAATTCTCCATATCATACAATAACTGATACTCTTCTTTCCCAAAGATTGTCATCTGAGATAACTACTAATTTTTTAAAGGAAAAAATGAGCTTCTTAGCAGATGGCCGTCTTTCACTGGGTCAATATATATATATTTTTTTTTTTTCTTTACTAAAATTTAATACACAAGGAAGGAAATGGGCAGTGAACGTTTGTACACATGATTGTCTTATACAGGCCGTCATAGAGCAGGTTCGACTGTTAATCCTGCATTTATAAAAGTGTTTTAGACATGTCTCCACACAATTATATTATGCCCCGAGATATCCCCCGTTATGTCCCCAGAAGAACACTTTATCTTATACAGTTGGTCATAGAGCAGGTTCGGCTGTAAATATAAAACGTGTTTTTGAACCATCCCCACATAATTATATGCCCTGAGATTTCCCCATTAAATATCCAAAGAAGAAGAACACTTTGTCTTATACAGATTACCATTGAGCATGTTCGATTGTATATCATATATTTATAGAACTGTTTTTGAATTGTCTCTACATAATTATATGCCCTGAGATTTCCCCCATAATGTCCCCAGAAGAAGAACACTTTGTCTTATACAGTTGGTCATAGAGCAGGTTCGCCTTTTATATTTATAAGAATATTTGTGCATCGTCCCCACACAATTATATGCGATGAGATTTCCCCATGAAATGGACCCAGAAGAAGAACACTTTGTCTTATACAGTTGGTCATAGAGCAGGTTCGCCGTTTATATTTATAAGAATATTTGTGCATCGTCCCCACACAATTATACCCCTGAGATGAGATTTCCCCATGAAATGTCCCCAGAAGAAGAACACAGCAGTCCCTCCCACGCCGGCTCCCCCAACAGCCAGAGTCCGGACACCGCCGGGAACGCTAACGCCGCGAAGAAGCCAACGAGGAAACGAGGTGAGAATGGTCAGACTATTTCTTTTATATTGCTTTGTTTTCCTGTAATAAAATGTGTGTTTACTTGTTTGTTTGTTTGTTTGCTGTGTCGACAGCTGTTATTGATAGTAGCTTTTTTGTTTGGTTTGGGATTGAATTGTTAGATTTATCGGTTCGTTGTTTGTTTGAGTTTTTAAAAGAATGATATATTTATGGGGTTTCTATTGTGTGTGTGTGTGTGTGTGTGTGTGTGTGTGTGTGTGTGTGTGTGTGTGTGTGTGTGTGTGTGTGTGTGTGTGTGTGTGTGTGTGTGTGTGTGAGAGAGAGAGAGAGAGAGAGAGAGAGAGAGAGAGAGAGAGAGAGGGTGTGTGTTGTGTGTGTGTGTTTGTGTATGTGCATGTGTGTGTGTGTGTGTGTGTGTGTGTGTGTGTGTGTGTGTTTTGTGTGTGTTCTTAATTTAAGTTTTAGGACATCTTTAATTAATTGGGTTATTGCATATGCTGTCTTCAATTTGTTGGGCTCAAATTCTATGTGGTTCTTACATTTCACTTGATTTTATCAACATCAGCTGATTTTACCTTTTCCTTAGTTAATTACTGTATCTAATTATTTGTTTCTATTCATTCCTGGGATAGAAAAAAAATATTGTTTATTTTTCTAAGGGTCGGGTGGGCTTTTGGGGTGGTGGTATAATTGTTTCTATGTTTTATTTTGACGGTTATTTTAGGATGAAGCAAAGGTGATTAAGCTTTGTGGGTTCTACTACTGACAATTTTTGTCTGGTTTGTTTGTTTCCTCCACTTTTTCTATTTGTTACAAAATGCCCAAACAAGCTAGTGTGCCGTTGAGTTAATTGCGCTTTCCTGAATATCCCGTTAATGTCCAACAACGTTAATAGGCCGGCTTACAAACTGAGCTAGCATTGTCCACTAGAAACATATCGTTATGATAGCCATGCTTCGTGTTCAACGTGTTCATTTTACCTGGCTCAAAACAAAATTCCGGTTTGGCATCAACATTTTTGCAATAGTATTGGGGGTGCAATGAATAGGGTTATAAAAACGTATAATGTCCAAAACATGTTGGAATATAATATATAAAAAGCACGTATAACAAGTACACAGTCATTATATCACAAGATTCCCAAATTTAACGAAATAGATTGTATGTTTACGACAAATCTATAACGCTTTTGCTGAAAGGGAAAATATTTTTTGAAAATATCTTTTAGAAGGTCCTCCTTAATAAACATTAATCTCGGTTCTTGAAACTTTTCACTTGCTCCGATTAGGAAACATTTTTGCGCTCATTGGTGAATAGCCAGTTTTGGCTAACTACCATTTCGACATTACAAGCATGTATTCGGATTGGAAGCACGCCGTCCCGATTACAAGATCCATGACTGTGATGTGCGAATAGTTCAAGATAATACGCCCCGTCCGAAAAGATCGCGGATATTAAAATTACGAGTAATTATAAATCGGATACCGTCTTCTTGCCTGGGGCAGCGGCGGCGATAGAGAGAGAGAAAGTGGAAGGCCCCAGAGGACTAGCGATAACACAGAGCCTAGAGGCCAACGAAGACGAGGAAGACCTGTATTGTCCGAGAGGGTCGTTCCGCTTAATTAGCGAGGATCTAATCACAACACGAGCTGTGATCGGAGGCCCCGAGGGGGTAAAGTATGCGCTCTTGCAGGAGAGTGGGAAAAAAAGGGGGAGGGTGGAAAAGAGGGAAGGGGGGGGGGCGTTGTCTCGAGGACGTGAGAGTCCAGAGTGAAGAGTTTCGCCTGCTCGTTTCTTCTTTATAACTTTTGTTAGTTATCTGGCTTTTTTTCTGTGATTGCATGTCTTTCTAAGCAGTTTTTAAAACGAAAAAAAAAAAGCCTGAGCCGTTCTTTTGTTTCACGTACTTTAAACATTTTTGGGGGCTGAGGCTTTATTCTGTGATTGATTGCCACTAATCGAGTGCTGTCGAACATGTTGTTGTTGTTGCTGCTGTTGTTGTTGTTGTTGCTGCTGCTGTTGTTGTTGCAGTATTTGTTGTTGTTGTTGTTGCTGTTGTTGTTGTTGTTTTTGATGTTAGTGGTGGTTGTTATTTTTTTGTTATTCTTGCTGTTGTTGTTTTTTGTTATTGATTTTGTTGTTATTTCTTTTGTTATGCTGTTGGTAGTGTTAGTGTTATTATTTGTCTATTTTAGATTTGTCTTTCCTTTTCTATACATTTCTTCAGGTGGGGGGATATCATCAATACCTCCGCTGTATTTTTCTGTTCGAAGCGTTTTTCTAAGTTGGGAAGAACTTTATCAAAGCGTTTATTTCATTCTCTGTAAGTAGGTTTTTTTTTCTTTTCCTTTTATTTTTAATGCACCTTTTTCCTATTGTTTTTTTTTCTTATCATTTCTTCTTTCATTAGTCCAGTCCCCCAACCCCTTCTTCCCTTCTCAACCCGTACACAATTAATTTGCACTGCGCAGGTCTCAACAAACCAAGCAATTGTGTACTACTAACATATCTTTATTGACGTTTTAAAATTTTATTCAGATACGTGTATTTGTTTGGAATATTCTTTTCGTACTTCAAACATATTTTAAACAAGTATTTGATATTTCCGTGTGGACCCCCTTCCTTGTGCGGATATTTCTTAATGAACAGAGAAAAACTGAGGCTACTAGAGCTAAAAAGAAGTGCAGAAAATTAAGATTAGAGCTTACAGCGTAAGAATGAAACCCTTTGGTCTTGTCAGAAACGTTTGTTTCATCTTTGACGAGTAGGGGCACACCCTAAATGAGAAATATGTTGAAACAAATCATTTTTCAAGCACACGTGAACATGATATTTACACCTGTAGTCATATATTTAAAAAATCTACCCAATAAACCAAATCAAACAAATAAACACATAAACTAACAAACGGACATTTTCCGAATCTTGATGATAAAAGTATAATTGCATATTTTTGACTGTATAGTGGAGAAGTTAGCCTGGGAACGAATTGAGAAAGTGGAAAAGGGAAGGGGGTGGATGTTAAAAAGGGAAAAAAAGGGGGGGGGGATTTTCTTATAAGGAGGGGGGGGGGGGGTCTTTTTAAGTGAAGGGGGAGGGGGGGGGGTCATGAAAATAAAATGCGAGGGTGGGGATCATAAGCTTATTTAGCAGACTCCAGCTTCTGCTATTTCTGAGCGGGGCGCGGGAAAGCGGCAATCAAGAGAAATGATGGCTTAATCGACCAAGCCACAACACAAGCAAATTGTTTACAGTGTCTTGTTGCAGATCTCCTCGGCGACAGCCGGTCTCTGATTTCCCCCCCCCCCTCTCTCTCTCTCTCTCTCTCTCTCTCTCTCTCTCTCTCTCTCTCTCTCTCTCTCTCTCTCTCTCTCTCTCTCTTTCTCTCTCTTTTATTTCTCCTTTCGTTTTAACCAAGTTTCTTTCCCTCTTCTATCTCATTCGTTATTTCCTTCGTTTCCGTGATCTCTGTTGTTGCCATTGTTGTTGTTGTTGTTGTTTAATCTGTTGTTATTGTTGTTGTGTAATCTTTTCATGTTGCTGCTGTTGCTTTTGCGTTATTGTTGTTGCTGTTACTGTTTCATTACTGCTTTTTGCTACTACAAAGTTCGTCCGACAGTCAATACTTTTTCGTTTTATTTCAAACTTTCGAAATAATTACAAATATTTTTGTGCGCTCATTTTTGTTAGTTTGAATAATTTCCGGATGTTTACTGCTCTAAGGAATATTGAGGGTATTCATTCTTATTCCACCCTGCCTCCCTCCGCCCTCCATTTCATCATGGCATTTCATTCATGCCCTTATGTTAGCAGAAAGAGGAGAGGGGTGGCTAAGGGAAGACACAGCAGTGGTCGGGCAAGGAAAGGCGGAGAGAGCAGTGTGTGAAACTCTTGTTTCGTTAAAGCTCTTCATTCGCAAAGGAACATGTTTTATTTGTACACAGGCTCTAAGCCCGGCATCTATCTTTTTGTCTTATACACATGTAGATCTAATTCTTATCGAAAGCATACACCCACAGACGTCGTAAAAACCTCTTTTGGTCATTTATTGCATCAAAGAGGACCATCTATCGTAACAGTGTCCTTCTTCGCTTTCTTTTTCATCCCAATTTATCTTCTAAAGCCACCTCAACACAAAAGCAATGAAAACAAAAACAGCTGATGAGTGACACTTAAACACCTCCGTGCTAGGCGACAACTCCTGCGATAGATGAATAAATAAAAACAAGGCAAAAAATGGATAAACAAAGACAAACAATATTCTTTTGTTGCCAAGTGATGAATAGAAGGGACTTAGAGCTCTGGGATCTCCACCATTTGTCTGACTGAGCTGTTCACATTCATCAGCAAAACTTTATTGTCCTAGCACAAGGCAGTAACTGCACAGCTGCGCTGTTCTTGGTAAATTATGATGGAAGAAACACGGCACTGGATTAGACCCTGTCGCGGTTACTGCGTTAATTTCTCTGTTCATGACTCGTGAGTGTTTAGTACGAAACATTGGCACAGGCATTTAGTTTTGTTATCATCGTGAGTGTTTAGTACGAAACATTGGCACAGGCATTTAGTTTTGTTATCATCATTATTATTATTATTATTATTATTATTATTATTATTATTATTATTATTATTATTATTATTATTATTATTATTATTATTATTATTATTATTATTATTATTATTATTATTATTATTATTATAACTACTATTAATATTATCATTACTATTATATTATTATTAATTTCATTATCATCATTATTATCATTACTATTATCATTATTATTATGCTTTCTGTCCTTGAAGGAGCGGGTTGTGGGTGTGTTTATTTTTACTTCTCTTAATAAAGCTGTGCTCAAAAGGAATGTGTAAATTGATGATATATTTTTAAAATTATCTTTCAAGACTTCACACCAGCATTATTGTTAACCATGAACACACACAAAAGCGAGCCGTTTAGATAATCCCGTATCGCTGACTTTTATAGACTTTTCTTTAACGCGTACCGGAAGACCTTCGCTCCTTCCGTA